GGGCTCAGATCGCACTGCAAAGCATTGCATGTGTGATTTGAACAGAAATGCAGCGCGATTCCTGCCCAAAAGTGGTTTCCCTGCAGCTGTGGTGCAATTTGCAGTGCGATTTCATTTTGTATGGGCTCAAATCGCACTGTAAAGGTATAGGTAATCGGTATCGGCAAGTACTAGAGCACAAGTATCAGTACCCGTACTCACTGATGAAAAAGTACATGGTATCCGTGCAACCTTACCTGTCAGTTTTCACTGCTATCCATGGCTCTGTTAGAGAGATTTTCCATCACTTCCTGTTCTGGAGACAACTTTTTACAGGGAAAGAGGCAACAATAAAAATCTGGCAAATTCTTGCATTCTCCTACTTTTCTTAAAAAAAAGAAGAAAAAATTCTTCTTTATGTGTCACTGCTGGAAAGTTTCCTTTGCTTCCTCTCTGGTGAAAAGGTTTGGGGGCAGTAATGCTGGCAATACACAAATAGTTCAGCCAGCAGCTAAACATAATGAAACTAAACTAACAGATGCCTCCATCCACACAAGCAAGCTGGATGGAATATTTCCCCCCACAAGGACAATGTATCTGAGGCTCCATTCACATATGGGCATTTTTTATCGTGGGCAGAATTGTGTTGTTTCTGCCCATAATCCCAAGTGGGACCTGCTGATTGATGGAACTGAGCAAACACACTGACCCTGGAGCGTTCTCCTATATCTATAACCAACCTCACAGATGCTGCAATTAACAGACCTCCCATCACTCCCTATCCTCTCTACCTCCATTTTTTTTTATCAGCCCTCTCCTCCATGAACACCCTGCTGTGTCTATTAAAGAGCCCACCAACTGCCGCACAAAAAATGGGGAGATACATACCTGCCATCCAGGATGCATCCCCCTTAGCCAGCATATTATTTATAAAAACAAATCAAATTTACTGTGGTCCTTGAAAATGTTAATATATAAATCTCACAGTATAAGCTGGAAATATTACACAGTAGAAGCCACAAAGTCAAACTGTATAAACAAATAGTCCTTCCAGCTGTTGGGGACAGGAGCTGAATACAGGTCCCAAACTGTCCGATCTTGCTGAGACTTGCAGAGCAGGTTGGCAATTGTAGTTCCCATACAGCAGGATGACTGGGAGGTTACAAAGTAATACTGACAGATAAACTGAAATACTTCATAAATAGGAAAAGGATGTATGTACAGTAGATCTACATTTCCTATCTTGCAAAATAAGATATATACACGATTATCACCTTTTTTTATCACAAAAAGGAACTTCAGTGTTATTTTCTTTTTAAAGGGTAGTATGGCCACAGCTTTTTTGGTCATGCTTCTCTTCTGGGGCACAGGCGTGCACTTACTTGTGCTCTCTCATGACACAAAATCTGCCGACAATGGGCAAAAGCCCACTGTTGGCTGATGTAGTCTGTGGAAGGATGCCTGATTGGAGCTGGCTCAGCCTCTTAATCAGCTGCTGGGAGTTCAGTTCAGTTATGAAGGGATGATGCTTGCTCGGTACCCTTCAATAAAACTAAGGCTTAGTTGCTTCCGTTTTTTCATAGTTACATAGTTAGTCTGGCTGAAAAAAGACAAACGTTCATCCAGTTCAACCATTAAAAAAAAAAAAAGTTAGAATCCTACACCCACAGTTGATCCAGAGGAAGGCAACAAATCCAGCAAAGCATGATCCAATTTGCTCCTGCTGGGAAAAAAAATCCTTCCTGATCCCCAGAGAGGCAATCAGATATTCCCTGGATCAACTTTACCTATAAATATTAGTAACCAGTTATATTCTGTGTATCCAAGAAACAATCCAGGCCTTTCTTAAAGCAATCCACTGAGCTGGCCAGAACCAACTCTTGAGGGAGTCTATTCCACATTGTTACAGCTCTCACTGTGAAGAAACCTTTCCGTATTTGGAGATTAGATTTCTTTTCCTCCAGACGTAAAGAGTGCCCCCTTGTCCTCTGTGATGACCTCAGGGTGAATAGCTCTACACCGAGTTCACTATATGAACCACTGATGTATTTATACATGTTGATCATATCCCCCCTTAATCTCCTCTTCTCAAGAGAGAATAAATTCAGTTCCTCTAACCTTTCCTCATAGCTGAGCTCCTCCATGCCTCTTATCAGTTTGGTTGCCTTTCTCTGTACTTTCTCCAGTTCCCCAATGTTCTTTTTGTGAATTGGTGCCCAAAACTGAACTGCATATTCCAGATGAGGTGTTACTAATGATTTGTACAGGGGTAATATGATATCTCTTTCTCTGGAGTCTATACCTCCTTTAATAAAAGAGAGGATTTTGCTCACTTTAGAAACTGCAGCTTGGCATTGCATGCCATTATTAAGCTTGTGATCTACCAGAACCCCCAGATCCTTCTCCACCATTGATTCCCCCAGTTGTACCCACCCTAGTATGTATGATGCATGTATATTCTTCACCCCCAAGTGCAGAACCTTACATTTATCAACATTAAACCTCATTTGGCACATAGTTGCCCAATTAAACAGTGCATTGAGGTCGGCTTGTAAGTTGGAGACATCCTGTTAAGACGTTATTCCACTTCACAGCTTGGTGTCAACTGCAAAGACTGAAATGGGATTTTTAATCCCAGACCCTATATACTTTGTAAATATATTAAAAAGTAAGAGTCCCAACACTGAATCTTGGGGTACACCACTGACAACCCTAGACCATTCGCAGTATGAATTATTAACCACTACTCTCTGAATACGATCTTTTAGCCAGTTTTCTATCCATTTACATACAGATTTTTCCAAGCCTGTAGACTTTACCTTACACATTAGCCATGTGTAGGGAACTGTGTCAAACGCTTTTGCAAAATCCAAGTATACTACGTCCACCAGCACCCCTCTGTCCAAGGTTTTGCTCACCTCCTCATAAAAAGAAATCAGATTTGTTTGACAACTTCTGTCTTTCATGAATCCATGCTGTCTGTTGCTTAAAATATTTTTTTTACAACAAGAACTCATCTATGTGGTCTTTTATTAAACTCTCCAGTATCTTCCCAACTATAGAAGTTAAACTAACAGGTCTGTAATTACTTTTCATCATATAACTTTTATGACCACTTCTAAGATGGCGTTTTTGAGACTTCCGGTTTTAGCATGATGGCTTCTTGTACACTTCTGGTTCTTGTTTGCGATTAGATGAAGGAGGTCGGAGACCATATTCCCTATATAAGTTTTCAGCACTATCACCCCTTGAGAACGTCCTATTGGATGAAACGCATCGGGTGGAGTTATAGTGCTGACTTCACACTGCTGCATGATCCCGGGTCAGCAGCGGCCACACATGTAAGCCGGCATATTTGTGTTTACCTTTATTTGTACACATTTGGTTTTTGTAATAAATACTACACTATGGAAAGCACTTTTTGCTCTTGGTGAGCCTTGTTTTGCTAGATCCTGCACTAGAGAGGATGCTCTTTTTACACTGATTGCCATGACAAGCTGCATCTGAGACTGGCTGAGGTTTACAGGCATTTATGCTGCTGTAGTGGCAGCCGATAGTTCTTTTGGGTTTGCAATTCACTGGAAGACATGGTTGGTATTCTTGTTACTTATTTGGCTGTCTGCTATCAAGAACACAGTTTGAGGGTGATGGATCAGCAAATACTTACTGAACACTGAATTGTGTACATGGACACTGATAATATTCACATGATCATTGTTTTTTCACTTTAATTATTAAGCCCTGCACTTATTTATTTCGTTATATTGGGTCTATATACTACCTTTTGTGCTAGCTTCTTCATTTTAGCAGTCAGCACGGATATCTGGTTTTTATTTATTGGATCAAGGGCCACTTGTGGAGAACTTCAGAAAGACCTGGAATTAGCAGGTACAATTGTTTCAAAGAAAACAATAAGTAATGCACTCCTTGGCTTGTACGCACGCTCACCACGGAAGACTCCATAGCTGAAGAAAACTCATGTAGAAGCTTGTTTAAAGTTTGCTGCACAACATTTAGACAAGCCTGTGAAATACTGGGAGAATATAGTCTGGTCAGATGAGACCAAAACTGAACTCTGTGGATGCCATAATACCCACCATGTTTGGAGGTCAAATGGTGCTGCACATCACCCCAAAAACACATTATACCAACAGTGATGTTTGGAGGTGGGAACATCATGGTGTGGGGCTGTTTTTCAGCATACGGTACTGGCAAACTTCATATCTCTGAAGGAAGGATGAATGGAAAAATGTACCAAGACATTCTTCATAAAAATCTGCTGCCATCCACCAGGATGATGAAGATGAAAAGGAGGGTGGACATTTCAGCAAGACAATGATCCCAAACACAAAGCCAAGGAAACTCTCAATTGGTTTCAAAGAAAGAGAAAATAAAGCTGCTAGAATGGCCTAGCCAATCACCTGACTTGAATCCAACAAAAAATCTAAGGAAAGATCTAAAAGATCAAATTTCATAGAAGATGCCCACAGAACTTTCAAGATTTGAAGACTGTTTGTGTGGAAGAATGGGCCAAAATGGGCCAAAATCACACCTGAGCAATGCATAAGGCTAGTTTCTCCATACAGGAGGCCCCTTTAAGCTGTTATTATCAACAAAGGATTTTGTACGAAGTATTAAATACATTTCAGTTAGTGTGTTCAAAACTTTTTCCTTGTGTCATTCCATTTTATTACACATAACATAATTTCTGATTTTATTTGTTTTGGTTTCTTTGTATGTCTGGATTGCATGGATTACTGACGTGGTGAGAATTTCATATCAATAGCACCTTTAGAAATGTATTTACCTAGAAAATTGGTGACGTGTTCAATATTTATTTTACCTGCTGTATGTTTTTTTTTGTTGAATTCCCACTTTTCTCCTTTAATTTCTAATATTACCTCCTTAATAGGTTTCTCTTAAAAAGATTAAAGCTTGTGAGACTAAGAACACAGAAATGTAACTTATTGTTAAAGGACATTCTCATTATATCCGTATTGCTATATATTTAAGATGCTTACTTCACCAGTTGCAAGCGCAACAAAGTTTTTCACTGTTTTTGGGACAACTTTTCCAAACAATCCAATGATAACACGTCCAGCATTTCTATCACCAATCTTTATATCGAAGAAAACCTGTAAAATACAAGAGCAATGTCACAAAATACATCACAATGTAAAGGAGATATCAATAAATAAAAGGCAGAAACAAATAACAAAATCACTTTACTAAGGACTCTTTCACACAAATGGCTGGAGGGTTTTACCATCCCCCCAGCTGCTTCCATAATGCTAAGGCTGTATTGACATTTGAGCGATTGGTTGCTTGAAGCTCGAAGCTCCAAAAACGCTCAGACTTAAAAATCAATTGTTCTCTATGATGCCTGTTTGTGCAATCAGATGTGAACAGGCACCATAGAGAACAACTGATTTTTAAGTTTGAGCATTTTTTTAAACTTCGAGCTAAAAAAAAAAAAAAAAAAAAAATCACTCAAGTATGAATGCAGCCTCAAATTACAGCCTGATAGGGCTGTACCCATGCCACGGCATTTTGATTTCGACTGCAGAGTTTAACAGGCTGCATCATCTGTCAAATTTGCTTACAGAGATAAATAGGGACGTACAGCAACTGAGAACCAAAAGCTTGACGCTTGACTCACAGCTGTGCCCGGTTCTGCAAAGAAAAAAACAGACATCAGGAGGTAGCAATAGCCCCACTTGAAAGCCTGTCAGTTGCTGCTCTACCACCCTCTACAAAAAAAAAAAAAAAAAAAAAACGCAAATCACTTTTCAAAGGGAGGTAGGGACTGCAAACAGGTCTGAAAAAGATCTTAGAGATTATTTAGATGTGTCAAAAGAAGGACATGGCTTTTAAAGTGATTTTAAGGACTGGTCCACCAGATATTTCAATTATGGGCAAACACTGGTTGGCAGAATCACTATCTCTCAAAAATTCCAGAAGTAGGAATTTTACCCTGCTCCCAGCATGTTCACAAAGTCTCACTGCTTCTGCTGCAGCCTTCTCTGTAATGTATAAATTGAACAAAGCAAAAAGCAACGGGTGATTTACAAATAACAGCCACAACTAGAGGATTAATAAAGGGTTTCCTGGACCAAGGTTTGCCCCAAAAGATATACGATTATGGGGGGGTCATGAAACCTGTTATTACCCACTCAAACTGTATATCAACCTTTTATGAACACAATGTAAAGGGTGATGATGATGTACAGGACAGATAACCTACTCTGTATTATTTGAGCGATGCTTTTTCCATTTACTATGGGCAGACAACAACATACAAGGCTAGATTTAAGCACTTGAAAGTCAATGGAGCCATAGATTGAGCTGGTTTATAAAAATGAATGCAAGCGATATTGTCCAGAACAGCATTGAGGAATGCAAGGAAGAGCTGTATGATCTTGTTCGTGTAAATGTGACACCGACTAGCTTTCAGGTAGAGGTCTATGAAAACTATTGGGGTCACATTGTTTGAAATCCTAGCAGTTTGCCCTGCAGTCTCCACCATAAATGTGGTTTTTTGATGAATGAGAATTCCTTTGTATTATTGATTAGAACTACATCTGTCAAATAAGAATGTGGTCAAGGTTACTATCAAAAGAGATAAGGAAATGATCAAATTATCTTGGATAAGGAAAAGATCAAATTATCCTGGTTTCTTTTTCTAAGCAACACATTTATTCACTGATTGCCTATCAGTAAATATAACAATATTACAGTGTACCTCCGGGCAAAGACTTTTTTTTTAGTTTTGGATAGACTAGGGAAGGACTGGACCATTGTCGTCTGAGCCTCCATTGAGAAGATTTACCTCTGTCCGTACTGGTGACTTACAGGTGAAATTTGAAAAATTAGAATATCATGCAAAAGTTCATTTATTTCAGTAATGCAACTTAAAAGGTGAAACTAATATATGAGATAGACTCATTACATGCAAAGCAAGATAGTTCAAGACGTGATTTGTCATAATTGTGTAAATTATGGCTTACAGCTCATGAAAACCCCAAATCCACAATCTCAGAAAACGAGAATATTGTGAAAAGGTGCAATATTCTAGGCTCAAAGTGTCCCACTCTGATCAGCTAATTAAGCCATAACACCTGCAAAGGGTTCCTGAGCCTTTAAATGGTCTCTCAGTCTGGTTCAGTAGGAATCACAGTCATGGGAAAGACTGCTGACCTGACAGTTGTGCAGAAAACCATCATTGACACCCTCCATAAGGAGGGAAAGCCTCAAAAGGTAATTGCAAAAGAAGTTGGATGTTCCCAAAGTGCTGTATCAAAGCACATTAATAGAAAGTTATATGAAAGGGAAAAGTGTAGAAGAAAAAGGTGCACAAGCAGCAGGGATGACCGCAGCCTGGAGAGGATTGTCAGGAAAAGGCCATTCAAAAGTGTTGGGGACTTTCACAAGGAGTGGACTGAGGCTGGAGTCAGTGCATCAAGAGCCACCACACACAGACGGATCCTGGACATGGGCTTCAAATGTCGTATTCCTCTTGTCAAGCCACTCCTGAACAACAAACAACGTCAGAAGCGTCTTACCTGGGCTAAAGAAAAACAGACCTGGTCTGTTGCTCAGTGGTCCAAAGTCCTCTTTTCTGATGAGTGCAACTTATGCATCTCCTTTGGAAACCAAGGACCCAGAGTATGGAGGAAAAATGGAAAGGCACACACTGCAAGATGCTTGAAGTCCAGTGTGAAGTTTCCACAGTCTGTGTTGATTTGGGGAGCCATGTCATCTGCTGGTGTTGGTCCACTGTGCTTCATTAAGTCCAGGGTCAACGCAGCCGTCTACCAGGAGATTTTGGAGCACTTCATGCTTCCTTCCGCAGACGAGCTTTATAGGGATGCTGACTTCATTTTCCAGCAGGACTTGGCACCTGCCCACACTGCCAAAAGCTCAAAAACCTGGTTCAATGACCGTGGGATTACTGTGCTTGATTGGCCAGCAAACTCGCCTGACCTGAACCCCATAGAGAATCTATGGGGCATTGCCAAGAGAAAGATGAGAGACATGAGACCGAACAATGCAGAAGAGCTGAAGGCCGCTATTGAAGCATCCTGGTCTTCCATAACACCTCAGCAGTGCCACAGGCTGATAGCTTTCATGCCACGCCGCATTGAGGCAGTAATTGCTGCAAAAGGGGCCCAAACCAAGTACTGAGTACATATGCATGCTTCTACTTTTCAGAGGTCCGATATTGTTCTATGTACAATCCTTGTTTTATTGATTGCATGTAATATTCTAATTTTCTGAGATTGTGGATTTGGGGTTTTCATGAGCTGTAAGCCATAATTATCACAATTATGACAAATCCCGGCTTGAACTATCTTGCTTTGCATGTAATGAGTCTATCTCATATATTAGTTTCACCTTTTAAGTTGCATTACTGAAATAAATGAACTTTTGCACAATATTCTAATTTTTCGAGTTTCACCTGTAGAGTATTACTAAACCCAGGACCCTGCATTCACTATATCTGGTCTCCCACAGTACACAAAACATGAAAATGCAATTATTTTAGTAAATATAAACTGCTAAATACCTTTTCTCATCAGCAGTTAGAGCAGTCTTGTGACTTCTGTCAGTGTCCAGCAGAACACTGGTTAAAGCTTGTAGGAGGAGTTTTCATTCTCCCCTGATTGTCCTATGAAGCTGTATGACCCCTGACCCTGTCTGGATTATGCGGATTGGCCCTGTGGTGATCACATGCACTCTCCCAAGAAAAAAAAAACTCTAGTAATACATACCAAACTTAGCATGTGCAACTTGCCTCCAAGGCTCAGTTCTATCAGCAAATTGACTGGGGACAGTGGAAGGAGGGGAGGATCAGAGAAGACAGGATCAAATATCCTTTTTACACAATGCAGAGAATTAACTCCTTAGGTTCAACAGCGAGTATAACAAGCATTCTTAACTGCATATACAGACTGATTATACGGTCATGGGTTTAGTAATACTTTAAGTTGGCCATACATGGATCAAAATTCAGCTGGTTTAGTAGGGACCGGATGAATTCCGATCCATGTATGGGAAGGCTGGTTGTACAGAAGTCGATCTATCACCGAAAGACTTCAGGGCAACCAGCCGATCAGGTTTTTTCCCAATCAATCAGTGCCGCCAGCAGCACCGATCAGTTTGTTGTGACGCCGGGGAAGTCTCCCCAGTCAGAATAAAATAACTCAATGGGATTCCCCCATTCACATTGAGTGAATAGATGAGGGCATCGGGTCATTTTTTTTTTTTTTCGTTCAACTTATTGGCTAAACAAAAAAAAAGTGAAGCATGCACAGTATATGTCTACCGATCGACTTCTGTACCAGCCTGTCAGGTTTTTCCCAAACAATCAGTTCCCTATAGGGTATTTTGCCTATAAATTCTGGGGCATGTTCCCCATTTGGAGTATGCCTATAAATTCTGGGTCATGTTCCCCACAAATTATGGAGTATGCCCTTATAAATTTGGGATATGCCCCCTATGCTGGGGTATGTTTCTTATAAATGCTAAAGTATGTTCCCTATAAATGTTGCAGTATTTTCCTGTGTGGTTAATCCCTGGGACAGGAAGGGAAGAGAATTACCCACAATGGTATACAGATAATGATAAATCAATAATCTGGCAGGGGTTTTATCTCTTCCCTACTCTATCACAAAATAAAAATAAAAAATGGCTATAAACACACTTTAAACAAAATTCTGGAAGCTGTGCTCAAAAAAGGGAAAAGGGCCCATGGGCTCACTGCTGCCGACCTTATCCCATTACTGACTTACCATGCCTTGTTCTGCATGGTCTCTGGGTGGAAGCAGCCATGTTGGTGGAGGCAGGGCCTTGCTTCCTTTGTCAGAACCTCCAGCATGTAGCACAGTAGTAACATCATCGAATCTTACTCCAAATCAACTGAGATTAGCAGCAAGTGGCAGCAGTGCCCTAGATCTCACACTGCAAATAAACAGCAGTGAGTCTGTAGGCACACTCACATACAAAGAAATCAGGGATATTGATTTTGTATCGCCCGACACGTGTAGTTCCGGAAGCCGGCAGGTAGTTTTTTTTCAACCTTCAGCCCTGCTGCTTGCCCGCAGCAGGGCTGAAGGTTGAAAAAAAAAAAAAAACTACCTGTCCGGTGCCC